AACCATTCATCCGTTAATTTACTCCCTTAGGGGTGAAATTTCCAAAAATATTTTTTAGAAGGTGCTTACATATAAAAAGCATCAGCTGCCAAAACTTCAAGTTTTTCGCCCGAGCGATTGGTCTGTCAGACGGAGAGATTATTGACTCATCTAGCTGAGGTAATCGATGTGTCAGAAGTAGTCCTGTGTATGGTTCGAACCTGTAACAATGTTGCTAATATGTCTCATTAACGAGGGTCATCACATAGTTGTGGTGACAGCGATCGTCACGTAGCATTCTGTCTTGTTTTTTTGTTGTAGTTTTACTAATAATAAGTAATTGATATAAAGTTTAAACATGGATAAGAAGCAGACAGAACAATGCACACAGAAATAGAATAATATTCATAATATAATATTCTACCACATCCACACAACGCCATCTATTTCCAAACTAAGCAGAGCTTGTACTATGTGTAATAGACAACTGATATAAACACATCTATACGTCTTTTTTAGAAATACATACTTATTATACATAGAAACACCCAGACTAAATCAAACATTAAATGTTCATGCACACAAATGTTTGACTTGAGTCCGTTACACAAACCACTATGCCATCCCGTCATCACTTACTTTTGGTGTTTCAATATTTTCGTACGTATTTTATTTATCTATAATGTGAAACCAGCAAAATAATTATGTGCTAAAGTTTGTATGAAAAAACAGTGTCTAGCGCAACTTCAATGTAATCTCGCGTTGTCCAGGGAGCCACTGATTTACTTCTGTGTTGCACGCGACGCGATTATCAGCCGTACATGCTGGGCCATGCGTCAGCTCTATTATAGATACCGTGCTTTCAATGAATATATCTATTGAAGTTACAATTATAGACGGGTTACAATTAAACTAATTTTAATGTGGAATTGACTTTGAAAATAATAGAATGTGAGCGTTTAATTCGCCTCAGTCTACCCTTATCGAGATGCATATAAGACGTGAGTGTGTATTTAGAATTTTATTTTACAGCAACATATTGGTCAAAAAATATAAAACGTATATTCAATCATTAAGACAGAAATCGGTGATCAAAAATTATAATTTTAATATTGTATCAAAAGACTGTCGATGGAATGTGGTCGGAATAGTTTTGCCCTTTTCGTATTCTACTAACTATGCAATGGTCTCCCGATGACTTGTCACTGAACTGCCACTAATACAAATTTCGTCGATGTCTTCTTAGTACGAGTAATAGTAAAATGATATATTTAATTTTCCAGATTCAACAATTTTGTGGATATCACTATTGATAATGTCACTATATCGACAGTCATTACTTACTGACACTGAATTTATGTTAGCAGAATACCGATATTTTGACCGATGTCAATGGCACCTCAATAGTGTGTCTATGGAATGACAGTGGCTTGTACGTTAATATAATATAGCAGAATTGAGACCCAGTACTATTCTAATATAAAGGTAAAGGACTTTGTTTGTGAGATTTTAGCGTTGAGAGCCATGCATCGGCGAATGTGGGCAAGCCCGACTGGAATGATACCACGGCGTCACAAGAAACTGGTACTAGGCTATTCTTTTGTTGCTTTTCAAGTCGTTGCTTTAGCTGAGTGAGTGAGGTTAATAAAGGCCCAAACCTCTCCCCTATTACCGGTTTACTAGGGGGGAGCGACTGCACCAGGGACTTCCTTTCTAGGGTATACCTGGTTCCCCGGCTATTAGTACTCGAGAGGGCGTGCGGTTTTAGTCGGTTCGAGCCCGACATGCCACCGATAGGTGGTATCCGAGGGGATTTCCGCACGGAAAAAAAAAAAGGGGGGGGGGGGCGACTCACAAATAACTGGACACGTAAACGGATTTCTAAATAAAAATAATTACATGTTTCTAAACATAAGCATATTATGCAAATACAAGTAATCGTGCAAATCACATAATATTTGTCCTGGGTGGGAATTGGACCCCGACCTCTGGGTTAACAGCCAGGATCGCTAACCATTAGACCAACAGTCCGTCCTTTGCTCCTGTCAATATGAAAAAATTAATAAGCCCGACTGCGTCAAAATAGTACATTAAAAATACCAATAATTTTTATTTTTATATTATTTAATACTTTTTATTTTATTTTCTTTTTTTTATGTTAGAGGGGGCAGACGAGCAAACGGGTCAACTGATGGAAAGTGACCATCGCCGCCCATGAACGTCTTAATAAATAATAATAATAATTCACATTTAAATATTCAAAACTACTACAATTTTAACATATATATGCTTCTAACTAACATAAACGTAAGTTTGCTAAGTTGTTGACGGGCCTGTTGGTCTAGTCGTTAGTGATCCTGACTGATAAGCCGGAGGTCGTGGGTTCGATTCCCACCCAGGACAAATATTGTGTGATGAGCACGGTCATTTGTTGTGTGTCTGGGGTGTAATTTATCTATAATATGTATGTATTTAAATATCTATAAGTATATTTATCAGCAGTCTGGTTACCAAGGCACAGGCTCTGCCTAGTTTGGGATGTCCGAAACTTGGATTTTTTTAATTTTATATTCTTAACTCGATTGTAGTGAATTCCCATTTACTAATATTCAATCTGTTTTGACTGCACTGCCTTGATTGACTGCACAGATGGCGTAGTGGTTTAAGCGGTCGCTACGCTTCCTACTACACCGAGTATTGAGGGTTCTATCCCCACATGGGACAACACTTTGTGTGATCCATAAATTGTTGTTCTGAGTCTAGGTGTTCATTGTGTCTGTTTCATATATATTTGTGAAGTCCCACGAGGATATATTCCAAATGGATTTTTTTTTAATAAAAAATCATCATCAATAAAGCACGCAGCCCTGATGACTTGCAGACTTGATGCAGACTTGCCTAAATTACGAAAGTGCGACTAAAATTATATCTGACAAAATGTTGGCATTTATATATTTCTATTTCTATTTATTCTTTATTGTACACACTGAACACATACATATATATAAGTAACAAGGAAATGTCATGTACAAAGGCGAGCTTAATCCAAAACTGAGTTTGTATGGTATATGGTATTTATATATAAATGCTTCTGTGACCTATAGAACTTTTAGAACACCAGTTCGAGATTAAATTACTGAACCAAATAAAAGGAACCGCCACAGAACAGGATAACCAGCCGGTTATCAAAATGACCAGTAATAACTTAATATCCTTTACATCGCGTGATAGTGGGTAGTTAATCTTCCGTCAGAGACGCGGGCTGAGGCTAACTGATAACGCATTTATCTCAAGTCTCTGTATCATTGGATATCACTCACCGGCTTATTAATTGATGTCAGGTTACTGAACGTATCGGGTGAATGTTATTGAAAATATTTTATAAGTAACTACCCCGCGCAAATCGTCTGTTTCGTCCAGAAGGAATAAAGTTTCAACGTTTTTGCAACTTTTTCATGAATACTTGCTCCTATTGGTGGTAGCATGATTTGATATACCCTATAGTCTTCCTAGATAAATTGGAACCAGTAGTTCCTGAGATTAGCGCGTAAAATCTCCAGCTTTATAACATTAGTATGGATTTATTTTTTTAAACTTGTAAAGTTTGGGGTCATATTATTTGTTTTCACGAGTCGGACGACTTGGGCTTAATAGTAACAGCAATGATGGTCTGATGATGAAGCAAGAAGATGGTTAGTGTGATTTTTTTTTACTTTTTAATTCGATTTGTCAGTAAAGCGTGCTTTATTAAACTATATTTTATTGCTGCAATCTTTTGCTGTTGTAAGGTTATTGCTATACTCAATATGTTTATTGCTTTCCACAATGTTTGCTTAGGTGGTAACTTATAAATATGAGATCAGATGGACTGGTCGGGCATAGCAATAGATGAAAGAGGAAGAGATAATTCAAATTAATAATAATACATTTAGTTATAATAATAACACTTTACTAAACCAGAGGTCGTGGGTGTACCCAGGGAAAATAAATTTGGTGACGAAGTTACTGCAAGCAGACAATAGTAAGGGCCCGGATGTCTTAAGAATAGCTATTCCCTGAATATCCCTCCTATTTCAGTTGTTTCACCTGCATAATTACTAAGTGAATTTTAATAATACAAAAATATGAATAAAATATTATTATTTTATTTCATTATTAGACCACCTTTCCATAACTCCATATATCTGTTACCTACCTATGACTTCAATTCATTGAAGTTCAGTCATTTGCCAATAAATAAATAAGAAAACTAATGTTTATTATAATATATATAAACACTAACGTGTTTAATGGGCATATTTTATACTTCTTACTTTTGGTAGTTGAAGATTGTAAAAACATCCAATAATTTTGCTCTCAGAAGTCTGAATTTTACAATTTGAATTTTATAAATGAAGAAAATTTACGTTTCATTTAGGTCAATGACTGTTTCCAAAACCTATAATTACTTTTATTATTGTGTTTTTAAGTAAAATTGTAACTCGATGATTGAGTACTTACTTTAACTAAAGATTGATTCCCTTGGGAGTGTCGAAATATGCGTTTTTTGCTGCATAAACTTCCGTATCGTTTTTTTAAGTTAACTTAGAAGTTTGATTTCTTATAGCCTCAAGGAACTGTAGATCTAGGTATAAGGTTTTAATTTCACTCAATACATCCAGGCGTTACAAGAAAAGCTAACAAAAGCATTTTGATCAATTGTTATCGATTTTTTAAGAACCTTACTTACATACATAGAATTAGATCAAATCTTTTAAGTCGTCAAGGCGGGCAGAGACAAGAATTGATTCTGTCTATCTGCACAAAGATATATAAAAAATATTAACTACCGCAAAAATCCTAAGAAAATCTTTTTGTAGTAGCTTACGTAGCTGGCTGTATAAACGTCAACTTTGTTCATTCTCTAAACACTGTGGGTACTTGGAAAACTTTTTTATAAAACTGGCAGTTAAAATTATTCAGTGTCATTTGCTCAGTTCTGGTTTAAAAACAAACGAATATAGTGAATATATTACTCAGATATGATGAATAGAACAACATTTAGTAAAAAGACTGTAAGTAATATCACCATTTATATAATTTTATAGCAGTTTAAAAATATTATGAAAAGAAATTAAAATATTTACTCGTATTTACATACAAGCATTCAAAAATCCTTATATAGTGTTTCCAGAAGACTGGCAGCATTGCCACGTTGAATGGCAATGCTAATTCTCTGTTCTAGAAAAAGGGCGGCCTTCTGATCACGAGAAGTGTCGCTCAGTTGTTTAGCTAGTTGTTTATACATAATATGGGCACTCGGACCCCATGACCCTGGCGTCTTGACACCAGAAATGAAAAGTGTGGTTCATTAAGAGTTTAAATTATCGCAGTATTACATAAATGAAGAAAAATCCGCTGTAAAAGCCCGAAAATTAACGGATAAAATAACATTTGTGTAAATTGAGATTTTTTTAACCGCTGGTCATAGGCCTCTCATTAAAAAGGAGATTGTGGCCTACTGAAGAAACGAACACTTAGATTTTATTTATTTGTATGTATTTATGTAAAAAAGTAGATTTTACATTCAATGTAATAGTCCAATACACTCCAATACACAATAAAATAAATTGTTAGGTACTAATTTTTATTCTCAAACCATATAATATTTTTTCTGTATTCACACACACAAACACAAAGTAACATGGTTTTTTCTCTCCTAAATTAAGCAATTAAATTATATTTTTTAACACCACACAATTTGAAATTATAATCCTTTATTATGCAAAGATTATTGCAAAGCACCCCAAACATACATATATTCAATCACCACAAAAATAATTAATATACTTTTTTTGTTCTTACGGCCGGCGTATCAAGACATTTCCTAGAAATCATTACACGTGGAACAGCTAAGGGTACAAAACGGATTAAAAAGGGGCTTGTTTCTACTAACTAGCATAATAATGAACAATTATTCAACAAGTGATGTTATATAATGTCTTGATTCTTATTTTCTAGAGTTCCTTATGGCGATAGACTTTCTATAAATTGTTAGTGGCTGAAATTTTATTTGTAATTTAATTTTATATAGGGAAATGATTTTTTTAAATTGTATGCTTAAAAAAACATAGGGTTTATTTGAATAAATTTAATTGTAAATTAGTTGGTATACCTTATATTTATGAGTTTTAAGAATAGTAAAGAGTTTTTTGAAATAAAATGAGTAAAATAAACGTATTCTTGTAGCGCGGTATGATGTTATTTCTAAAACCATCTCCTCTTCTTTTGCTAGTAAGTGGGATCACAAGTAATATTAACAGAACGACATGTGCTACACCGCAATCAGCTCTCACGCCGTTAGAGGTTGCAAGCATTATATACTATAGTTACTTTTCAAACAGTTAATTGCAATCAGTTGACTTTAATTTGTATTTGCCATTTTATAATAATGCACAAACATGTGACCACAGAGCTGATCATAAACAGCCTATAATAGTCAACGGATGAACATAGGCCTCTACCTCGACAGGAGGTTATGACCTATATATATCACGTTGGCCAGACGGGTTGGTATAGGGTTTGTGTCAAGTTTGCGAAGCAGTTGTCCTGCGTTTTTTGCTCCCTTCGTCGGCCTTTACGACACCCACTGTATGAATAGGAGTGGTGACATTCCATATTCTCACACCGTTACCACACGAACAGAATACAAACCCCTACACTGCATAACAATGGCGTAGATAGGCTAGTTGAATGAAATATGTTCGTTGGTGGATCTAATATATATATAAAATTCATAGTCATGTTTTGTGTCTGGAATAAAAGGAAAATAAAAATACATTGTAGTGGTTATATACTTCTTCTGTATATTAATGACACTGAGTATTGACGTTAATTTACAGGATAATTTATTATATGAGATGAAATATTTGCGCGTCTGTGCCGAAGAATGACTCTCCCATAGTCTTTGTTAAATAAATCTTTTCTAAATAAATCCTGCTATTTATAAAGGTTTTTTAGAATAGAACATAACTTAAATCCGATAAAAGAAGTTCTTATGATCAATGTGATGTGACCATTGCTAATGAAAACAACTGCAATTTGGCTAAACTTAGTTTTACTAACTTTTAATACGCGTTCCATTATTTATAATTATTTGTGTTTACGTGAAATAACCGGCGGGCTGGTCCTGGTCAAAATGTATAAGATATATCATGTACGCGTTTATTGCCGTAAACATAATAATTTAATTAGTTTTAGTCATTACAACGAAAATTAAACAAAGTTTTTACCCTAATTTTAGCTGACAAACACTATCATTCACACGTAAATTGTAGCTTATAAGCTATATATATATTATAATAAGTACCTAACCTGTATCTCCGACTTTTCATTAATGAAATTTCAAGAAATGATTTTTTCCAATTTATTTTTCTTAAATCTTTATATATCCACCTTGATATCATTATCACTGCTCATGATCTCGTCAAGTCAAGGTGAGTTTGTACACAAATTGTGTCACCGCTTAGATTTAGTGGCGAACTTTTTAAGATAGGTACACCACTTCAAATACCAAAAATCTCGAACAGTGGATCTACTGTTCTCTGTCCAAGATTTTTTTACTTGATTTGGAGTAGTATGGAAGACATAATGATCTCGTGAGAATAGATGGCGCTGTTAAAAACAAATATAGCTGTTCTGTATGTTACGCTATTGAGAGCGTACGGTGCTTCTTTCTACATCAGTTATTCACAAGTCGGTACATTTTACCGAAAGATCCAATAATGCCCTTGCATTAATTTGAATGATATATAATAAAGAATGATCACATCAGACTTGTGTTACTTTAAATACCTATCCTATGTTATTTTGCAGAATAGATTAACAGTTAAAAATATTACTTTATGTAAGTACTTGTACATAGGGCTAACGGGATTATATAGTAGTTGAATTAACACTACACTTAACTATACTATTTTTGAAGTAGTATGAATTTGGTCACCATCCCTGTAGGTAGTCCAAAACCTCCTTTTTATGGAAGGCCTATGTCCAGCACTGGACTATTAAAGGCTGTTGATGTTAGTATCCACACTAAGACGTTCTTCATCATCGTCATCAAATCAGCCAAAAGACGTTCACAAACATGTTTGCTTTATACCCAGTCACTGTTACGTGTTGTTATCATGATTTTTTGATAGATTATAACTAGTTTATCAACATGTCTAACGAAAAAGATTGTTCCGGGTAACATTCGAACAAGATAAAACAGCCGAAACTTTATCGCCTACTTCTTTTATTTTTGACAAAATGGCAAGTGGGTCGAATATTTATAGTCGTCTCTCGAATAAATCTGTCAAAATCTGCTTTATTAGGTATCAAAAATAAGATTAAATCAAAGAAAGAACCGGAAACTGGTATAAATATTGTACTTAAAATTTCCTTGTCACTTATGTAATACTAATGTGTACAAAAAAAAACATGAAATGGAATTAAATTTAATTATATTGCCGATGTTATCTAAATTGTTTACAACTACTTTCTCCGTCTTGCCGACTTTACATACATGTTTGATATGTTTCTACATACATATATAATTATCACACATACACAAATATAGAAAATAGCTATTCTGTAAACAAGGAGAGTAATAACAAAAATAAGTTTATTTGCCATATTTTTATATATTTTTTTTATTTCAAAATATTTTTCTTGCAATTTAAATCAAATTTCCTTCAATTTAATTTGAATACAAACTTAGAACGCTTTGCCAGAAAAGTTTCTAAAAAATTTTTTTTTTTAATTTAAAATAAATTAAGTCGCCACAGAACCCTGACACAGAACAAGACTCTGTCTTAACCAGATCTATATAGAAACAAAACACAGAAATTTATAAATAATTATGTTATAGCGTATCAATGCGCACTTGACTGACCGTTTTCTACGAAACTCGCATAAGTAGTGCACGTTCCCAGAAAAAGCTCGTTCGTCCGCGGAATAACGCATAATTCATTTCAAGTAGGTTTATGTTCAGTTCCGAGAATTTCGTCCAACGTTCTGAAGAAAACTAGTTATGTTTCGCAGTAACGCTCCCTTAGTTTGTGATTAAAAAACATTTTGTTTACAGTTCAATGGGCAGCGACCCCCTGTCGATCGGTTTGTGAAACCGAGGGAATGCTTGCCGGAGCTCAGTAGGAAAGTCCGTTGGGGTGCCCGGGATAAGAGCACGAATGACGTTTGGGTAAGTTGATAGTTCGCCGACATCACCCAGATTGACTTTTGACTGCACGGATGGCGTAGTGGTTTAAGCGGTCGCCACGCTGCTCGCTACTACGCTGAGTGTGTGTTGATCTATAACTTGAGTCTACATAAAAGACGATTTCAAACAATTTTATTTTTTTTATGAAATAAAGAGAGTTTGAGTTTGAGTGTTAAGGGTCCGATCCCCACATGGGACGATACTTTTTGTGAACTACAAATTGTTGTTCTAAGTCTGGGTGTTCTTTGTGTCCGTTTCATGTACGTTTGTAAAGTCCTCCGCGACACAAGATTTATACCTAATGTCTTTAAAAAAACAACAAAGAAAAAAAAAACATCTTTCTCTCTTACTGTTGCGAAGAAATTATCGAATCTACAAAGGTAATAAAAATGATTTTAATTTACAATCTTTCTCGTGGCTAAGTGGTATCCGAGTAGTAACGTTCCCTACATTGTAAAATTTGAACAATCCTAACCAGGTCCAGGTCAGGTGACCATTTCTTAACATATTGAAACCCCTCGGGGCCTGGGAGAGCAATTAAGCCGTCGGTCCTTGTTACCATATGAACATCTGTGGCAATCATTACGGGTAGTTGATGCCCTAAAGAGTCTTTCTACAGAACTTCAATATCGCCTAGTGTAGTATCTCTTGGGTTGTGGAGGTCTGGTGGCAGTCGCTCTGTGTAAGAAATCATAGTAGAACTAAAGCCAATCGCCTAATTTGGGAAAAATGCTCTTAAAATCGGATCTTTTTCTCATAATAACTACGTAAATTAAATACTGCTAGCTAAAACACAACACAAGTCGAAGGTATGTAATACCTATTACATGATGCGTTGATTCCCGGACGCATCCATAATAATATATCTAATCATTAAAGTTATTCCCATAAACTCGAACAGGGTTACCTCTTATGTAAATAGATGAGGAGTTGGGTATCCTTCTAAATAAAAATGATGTTGCCACTTTTAGTCAAGGTTTCTATGTTATTCTAATATTTATAAGATTCACGAGATACAACACACGCCTGTCTAAATTATGATGATATGATAATGATGATGATGATGATGTCCTAGGTGGGAATCGAGCTCACGACCTCCGACTTAACAGACAGGGTCACTAACTGCTAGACTAACAGGTCCGTCAAATCAATAGTAGACATTTGCATAACTCAATTCAACTCAAATTTCTTTATTTCATTAAAAAAACTGTCTCTTATATAGACTCTAAAGTCATAGATCAACACACACAACAGCAACAATCTCTGTTTTGTCAAATATTTAGCTAACTAAATATATACGTATCGAAAATCTCTTATATGCCGATCTACAACCGCCCGTTTTCAAGGGGTTGAGCCCCATGAGAAGAAAGGGCATACAAACTCACGGCCATTCTTTTCAATGAATAGAAAACAATGGCATCATTAAATATACAGAACATTGTTTTGATGTGTGAGTATGTAAGTTTCAAGGACTAAAAGGTAAGAAGGCAATGAAGAGAAAACAATATGGAATAAAAAAGTGAAGTAAAACATAAAAAAATTAAAAATTAAATAAAAGACATACCAGCCCACATCACATTTCCACTAAGAAAAATAGCCTGTGCTAAATAAATCCCAAGCATTTTTGTCTTCTGTGTAATAAATAATTGAGTAATAGGCCATCTGACATAGTTTACGTTTTATTGGGGATTTAAATTTGTTTATACTAAAATCTTGTATACTGTTTGGGATTTTATTATAGAATCGGACACATTGAGCTCGAAATGACTTGTTTATCATTTGCAGCCTAGAGGCAGGTACAACAAAAAAAGGTTTATTTCTGTAAAATCATTTATTTGGTGTTTATGAACATATATTACATTTTCATACATATATTGACTTGCCACTGTCATTATGTCTTTTTTTTTTAATTTTTGCCGCAATGAACAACGATTGCCTAAATTATAAATTACTCGAATCGCTCTTTTATGCAGCACAAAAATAGTTTGAATGTCGGCATAATCCCCCTACAGTAGAATACCGTACGACATAATGCAGTGAAAATTACGTAAACAAGTCGTGCTGTATGAATCAGTCAATTCTCGAATTTTTCTAACTATGTACGCTGATGAGCTAAGTCTACTCGATAATTTATCTACATGTGGGCCCCACTGTAGCTTAGAATCTAATGTTATTCCTTAAAATGTCGTTGTATCCACAAGGTTTAGCTCGACATTCTTAATCATCACAGTGGTTTTCACTGGCTTGACGTTTGGCGTGGTGAACCGTATACACTTAGTTTTTTTTAACCGACTTCAAAAAAAGGAGGAGGTTCTCAATTCGACTGTATTTTTTTTTTTTTTTTTTTTATGTTTGTTAGCTCAGAACTTTTTTACATTCAAAAGCAAATTGTTGACGTCAAACCAATAAACCACTTTCTTTTCTTTTTGTTTGAGTCTTAATAATAGGGATATATCATGTGCATACAATATAATCTTGTAATTATCCTTGACATGATGAGCTAAGTCGTTAATACATACTAAAAACAAAAACGGGCCAAGAATAGAACCTTGTGGAACGCCTATTACTAAAACAGAACCCGGAGATCGATTAGTAAGATATAAAGCAAGAAGTTCCAGTGCTTTAGTTTTGATACCATAGTGTTGTAATTTCCTGATCAGGCTTCATCCCAGGCATCAAATATATTTTTTATAAGCTCAACACTAGCATCAGTTGTGGAACGACCCCTAGTAAAACCAAATTGTCTATTGTGCAATAAATTATTATTATTAAAATAAGTTATTGATCATACATTATTTTACAAAAAATTTGCTAAGTACTGGTAGTACTGAAATAGGCCTAAAGTTAGTTGGGTCAGATGTACTGCTAAATTTGAATAAGGGAATAATTTTACAGGACTTCATAAGATCAGGAAATACACCACTATCAATACATTGATTAAATGTAAATGACAATTGATATACTACATTGTCAATTGACATACTAAGAGTATTATATATTAGTCTGCGTCTAAAGTGCTTACATTTATACGCCATTTTTTTTTTGTAAGGAATAATTAAAAGAAACTATAGTTACTTTTAATCTCAATCGAGCAAAGTAAAAAAAGACTTTAGCTAATCAGGGTCGCATAACTGTAACTCAATCTGCCTACTGCGGAATAGTCTCATCCTAATCGTTACCGGTACCCTGCTGAGGATCGTGACTCTCTTTCATCCTGTCAACCATCTGTTTCCATCGGTTGCCATCAATCGCTTTGTGAATTACGATACTAATTGGCATCTCCAGCTGTTCAATGATCTGGTCTGACCATCTTCTAAGACTCCCGCCTCTGAATCTCTTCCCTTCTACTTTTCCAGTCACCATCAATCGCCCCAGGTTATCATCATTGTCCAACATATCCGAAATATTTGATTATATGTTGCCTGCAAGTTGAAGACAAACGCTGAACGCTCTCTATTTTCAGTTGTTTCAGTATGTATATCTTTAGACCTTCTAAATAAGCTTGACCGTCTTCTCAATAACTGCATTCGATACATCTTCAATCTTCGGAATGTGTCTGCTTTGCGTTCCCAATTAAACTAGTTGCCTATTCGCCTCCGCCGCAAACAGCGTGCACTTACCTCTCTATTTGCATTTCTCAATTCACCGTCCTCACCTACTCCCTCCTACTTACGTTACCTGTCTAGCAATCATGACAGAAATCTTCGCTCAGATAACAATCTGCTTCTCTTATTTCCCTCTCACAACTCCGACTTCGTGAACTCTTCGTTTTTTGTTCAAGCAGTACTACTCCGGAATGCGCTCCCGCTCGAAATCAGGATGTCCACAAACCGCTTTATATTCAAAAGGAAGGTACATGCTCTCCTTCTTAAAGAAATGGCAGAACGGTCTAATCCATAGTTAAGTACACCTCATATTCAGGTTTTCATAGTGTACGAATAAGATATGTCTATGTATCTATATAAATATACTTGTATATATATGTATGTGTATCTATGCGTATTTATGATGTGTAAGTGTAGTATGTGTGTATATGTTTATATATGTAGTGAACCGTATATATTTTCATTGTACATTTGATATTATGATGTAACCTCTGTGCACCTACCTTACAAGATTTCTACATCACCCAAAGGTTGACTGGAAGAGAATGCCCTGGGCATTAAGTCCGCCGATGTACAAAAGTGCATAAAGATAAATAAATAAATACTTGTGCGATGTGCCGTCTATGAAATCCTTAACATACAGTGCCAACACCACATTTCAAACGCATCTATTCACTGCCTATCAGCGGTTTGATGAAATAGTCGGAGCCCTCTCAAATGAGTGAAAAATAATAGCCTATTAAAATATAATCAACATGAGACAGTCTGAACCCTTTAACCTTAAGTTGGTTCACCACATTTTATCATCTAGATCCAAAAACAATTTGAGTAACATTACACGGTCAAAACTACCCAAAACGATAATCCTAACACTATGCGGATTAAGAATGAATGCGAAAGTGAATGTTTTTCATGATAGTGTCTTCTCGATGACCTTTTCAACGGTTGATCCAGAAATTTTGTACACATATTTTAAGCAAACCCTTAAGTAGCTTTCATCCTCAAAACGATACTGGTCCAAAAGGATATCTGACCTGATTGACAAAGTCTAAGTAAAAAAAAGTATAATTTAATGTTTAATAAAACGTTTACTCCACAGTGTACAAAGCACCTACAAGAAAAGAAATACGCCAAGTATTTAGACTCGGCTTTCGGCCTGGAGCCAATTAAGCCGGAGACCAGCTCAGAACTCGACGGCGAGCAGTACGGTCAGCTATGGCCGTGCATACCCAGGACCAAGAGCTACCTTTGTTCAGCCGATAGCATTCTGGATCTGCCATCTTACAGTGATGCTGCTTGTAGGTATTTTAATAAAAAAAATTATTTCATTATTCATCAGTACTAAACAGTTCTCAGTTTAATCTGATTATATCCTATTTAAAATTGTCTACCGGGCTTAACAAACTCTAGGCTGTTGCTATGAATACCTAAATAACCACCAAACCTATTTAAAAAACCTAGGAGTTATAATAATGTTGTAACCAGACCACTGATAAACATTTTTACTTATTACATACATACCATAAATATATCACATCCAGACACAGAGCAAATGATCGTCCTCATTGTTTTGTCGTCGGTCGACTTCAATCAGGGTCACTAACCCCGAGACCAAACCTCAAATGAGGTATTAATATTTCAAGCAATGTCGGTTATAAATATTTGCGATTAAGCACTATGCACACGTAGGTCTTCATTAATCTCCTCCAAGTCCTCTAAATGCTATAAGACATAACTGCCATAAAGTATTGTTATAGTTCCAGAACTACTCGACTGGTCGAACGACAATATCCTGGTGGCGGCTTTAGGAAGGAGCTATCACAAGTGGAGCTGGCGCACACAGAGTCAGATCAGCCAAGGTTTCACGGACTACAACATACGATGCTGCAAGTTCGACCCCAAAGGAAAACTGCTAATTGTGAGTTGATAGATAATGTCCATGTGGTGACGGATTAAGAATACAAAGTGTTACGATCCCTATTCATCCCGTGGGTGTCGTAAGAGCGAAGTAAGGGAGCGAACTAAGGGAGCGAACTACGCAGGACAACAGCACTGCAAAGAGAAGGAAAACTTGAAACAAACCCTATACCAACCCGTCTGGCCGGCGTGGTATAGTAGGCCAAAACCTCCTTTCTAAGGAGAGGCCTATGTCCATCAGTGGACAATTACAGGCTGTTGATGAGATATTAGAACTTAGAACCGATGCACTAAAACTTGATTTATATTTTTTTTTATAATATAGCTCATTGAACAAGGAATAAACTTGAATTAATTTTGTTAATAAATTTTGCACTTAACTCGAAGCTGCTAAAATTCTGAAAAATATGTCATTGTATACAATAATATTAAGAAAACTACTTTCCTGAAATTTAGAACAATAGCATTTTGTTTAGTGGTTAAATTAGCAACGATAATTTTACAGTCTTAAAAGATAAATACATTTTAATATGGGAAAAAGGAAAAATGAAGAAAGAAAAAATGGCACATTTAAAAAAAAATAGGTAGCTACTAGCAGATCCACAGTTTCTGAAATATATTTTATTTTCAACCCTACTCGTTTGCCCTAGCTGGGTACAGACGCGAAGACAGTAGAAGTCCACGACACTGAGCTGAGCAAACGCGTGAACCAGAACAGATGCCGATGTTACAACTACACGCCTCCATACTACTGTTCCATCACCGCCATGGACTGGAGCCCAACAGGCAACTCTTTTATCACGTAATTCATTCATAATATTTTTATTTAACCATCTATTGTCTCTATAGTCTGAAGTAAACAGTCACATCATAGTCTCTGCAAAATCTTTTTTTGGTTTTTGTTTTTGTTGATAGCACCCACTAAGAAACGATTTTTGAATATTTCAAGGGTTTAAAATAAGGGATGAACAGTTGTATGAAAGTTTGTAAACATAGAAACACTAAATAGCCACGCGAGTGAAGCCGTGGGCAATAGCTATTTATTGATATAGGTACCGTAAATACCATAAGACTAAAAAAAACATGTGATCATTTCTTGTGGCTCAGCAAAATCTGTTTGCAAAATGAAATACTACCATGTGATGCTAAATATAGGCTTTTTTGCAGTGGCTGTTCCCGAGGTACCCTAGTGTCGTACACTCGTGAAGCTAACAGGATCAGCTGGTGCAGCGCAAGCCGCGGTTCGATTTTCATCACTCGAGTGTCTCCTGACGCTCGTTACGTCACGGCGGCTGCTGTCAACGATGACGACGTGCTTGTGTTCACCTGGCCCAGGCTCGAGCTGTTCTCTCGATTGACGTCAGATTGGACTATTAAGGTTAATACTTAACTTATATTTTGAGGTTAACCAGTAATATGATGAATGATAGAAGAAAACATATTTAAGATGACGATCAACCGATTTATTATAAAAAATGATGATTACTGCAATATGATGACAATAGAGATGATGATGATGATAACAATATTAATCTTAGTTCACACATTAGGTATTTTTTATAATACTAATCAACTAGTACACTAGTTGATAGTGTTCCTTATTCAGACTTACAGACATTCTGCTTCTGAAATCAATAGTTTTCTTTTTTATTATAAATATTTAAATACGAGTATATATGTACATATATGTAATATGATATTCATTAGACTTATTTCTTAGCGTGCCATGGATTCCGCGCCTCGTCCATTGCGTGATAGATGGGGGCAACATATGCGACTGCGAGGAGTAGGATTAGGCAGTACTCCTTGCGACGCGTCAACGCTGACTGTTTGCTGTGTTACCCCCTCTACCTAATTATATTTAATACGATCCTAGCAATGCCGCTTTAGAAATTCTTTCAAGAAAAGAGCTTACTGAAGCTCTTGGCAAACCAAAGTCTTTAAGTAGGTTACAGAGGGATTTAGCTGGTATACCCCTCGCTTCGCTTAACTTCCACGACATAAAACGCAACGAAATTACCATATCTTTACTTAGTGACTTTCACGTCCAGTGTTCTTAAGTGGTTCTGGTTTACATCGTATACCAGAAATGGCAATATAAAATAAACAAAATTATAATTCTGAAACATTAGAAACAAATAGGCATGGCTTTAATCAGCTATGAGTAACATACTGACATACATTTTTTTGCACAAAAATACAGTAAAAATATCTTGAAAATAATGTGGGCGCGCGAAATTTTTCAATTAATAAATTAAGAGAAAATTGTGTAAATAGTAGGTGCAATTTTCTTTTTTCCTAACAAAACTTAATTAACATTCAGGGCCTATCTCTATACGTACCTTCAAAGGGTATTTTACCTCGTGATATAGAAAATAGTAAGTATGTACATAAACTGAGTACCATTTATTTAAAAACACTTATTTCAGGCCTTGTCATGGCATCCTTGGCGCAGTGCGCTTTTAGGCATCGGAGCCGTGACATCGGCGCTGAACGCGCGCGTCACCCTCTGGGACGCGCCGACAGGCAAAGTTCGCAAACACACGCTGGGCAGGAATCATTACAGCCTGGATGCAATGCTCTTCAGCGAGAGAACTGGCGAGCTGGTACTGAGCTTGTGGAATGCAGGTGGGGACTATCACTTTGTATAATATTCTACAGGAATAATAATTAATGCCTTGTACAATGGGTTTCAGGACACGGATAGACATATTTAAATATCTTTTTTTCATGTATTGGTGTATATACAGTTGTATACACAGAAACAATTACAAATTAGAAATACTTAAACATACATACTCTCACGTCTAACTCAAATATGTCCGTAAAGTATAGATTATATATTAGACAAATACATATAGAGGGCCTTTTAAGTCTTTTAGATAGTAAATTGATTGGTGATGACAAATGTGAATCTAAATTCGTAATAAATAATAATTGCAACACTAATAAGCGACAGTTACCTAAATCTAAATTAAATAAAAAAGTGAACTATAACTTTTATGTGAAAATGAAAAGTCTTTTCGTTTGCCGGAATCAAGTGAAAATTTACCTTTTTTTTTTTCCGTGCGGAAATCCCCTCGGATACCACCTGTCGGTGGCATGTCGGACTCGAACCGACTAAAACCGCACGCCGTCTCGGGTACTAATAGCCGGGGAACCAGGTATACCCTAGAAAGGAAGTCCCTGGTGCCCCGACATACCTCGGGTCATCTACAGACGAGTAGACGACCCCCCCCGTGTGGGAACCCCATGTTCCCTGTGCTCCCTGGAAGCGAGCGCGCTTCGCAACGCGCTCGCCGCCACCCCGGCCTGCTTCTGCTAGGGTGACAGATGGCCTCACTGAGGACGGAGGTCGTTCTGCGACCTCCGGCGCCTGAGTCGCCTGCGGTACCTGGCCCGTTCCCGGGCCTGGCGGGCCGGGAGAGTCCTAAACCTCTCCCGGTCCCGCTCCGCCGTCTCCTTCGCGAGCATAACTTGCTCGCAGAAGGAGACGGCAGAGTTCCACGCACTCTCGCTCCGCACGATAGCCGCAATCAGGCTATCGAGCGAGAGAACTCCCACTCCGATGGCCGCCACGAGGTCTCGCCTCTGCTCAACCCACGCCGGGCACTCTGCCAGCGTGTGGAGAGCCGTGTCCACGGTCTGGCCATCGCAGTGGTGGCACTCAGGCGTTGGCTCCTTGCGGATCAGACACAGGTGAGAGGGTCCAGTGACGCCACTCGAGCCAATCCTCCATAACGGGTCTTACCGCCGCGATGACGGCGTGCCCGAAGAGAAAATTTACCTATTGTTAATTTTCCACTTCTATATTTTATTTAAAGAATTATTAATTTAATCATTTCAACGCCCCTTTCTTTACAAAAGTGATCACAGAACCTTTACTAAGCTGATAAAAATAATTTTAAATTGTTCTTACTTTTTTGTTTTATAATCCTAAACAGATATTTTCAGTTCAGTGATCCCCAGTTTTTCTGTACGATATCCAGTTCTATAAAATAACAAATAAATACTAAATGATCTATTTACATAGATTTATTAATTATTAGTTTACAAAATATAATAGAAAGTCTGATTCTACATATAATGGGCATTTTGTATTTTTTTTTCCAGACATGGCTATTCCACCATACCCAAAAACAAACTCTCAACTGTTGGTCATGAGTGACCCAGACACTGTGGTAGACCAGTGGGGCGAGGGATGGACGAGGCTTGATCGCATTCGAACCATGGTCTTTAGTCCAGATGGAACCAAACTTGGTACGTAATAAACTTGCAGGTATTAGTATAGTTGTAGTAATAGTATCAAATACAGGACTTGCAGCAACCCACAGCATACTACAGCCACACATAAGAAAAAGCTTGTAATAAATAGAAAAAGACCGTGTCTGAACGAGTCTACTTTTGCATGAAAGTACCAGAAATTAGAACCAGGTCAGCGCTATCCGTCAATCAAAACTGCTTTAAAAACATAAACAGCCTAAAACATAACTTGCACTCGAAACTTAAAATAATCACTAAGCGCCATCTATTTAATGCTCGCCGAACTACTTAATGACTTTTCATCCTACATCGCGATACACATCTCACACTTATGACACACAATATTCAATATTAATTTACTTTATAGATAAAGATACTACGCCCTTATAATTTTTGAATTAAAATTCATTAGTACATGTATTTTTTTATTCTAGCAACGGCAACAACAGACGAAGACCTGATAATTTTGAACTTCCTCCCAGAAGACAAGCTGAAAAAGAAAAAGTGCTGTAAACGCTTCTCTGCAATGCCCGTATATTTAGACAAAGTAACTGTTGGTGTCTCAATAAGATGATATTGTATTTATGTTACTTTAACTTTTGATAATAATTTGTTTATTTCGTAATAAATTTTATTTAATATTTATAATTTTCTTTTCTTTTATTTTAAGCTTAAAATTAAAAAAACAACTATACCTTCATTCGTACTTTGAAAAGTGTAATATTTAAAACTGAGTCTAGGCAGAACTGAATGAGTTTTAAAAAGAAAAACACTTCGAAGTATACAGTTCGCAGAATACTACTAATCGTTCTAGTAATCATTACAATAGAAACATATTTATTATTTATTCTGTTACGAACAGACACACATATTAAATGTACTCTTATTGGCATGCATTGTTCAATCATCACCTAGTACTTATTACTCGCTCTGCTGACGATGGAATCGTTTAACAAAGTAGGATAAAACGGTATCCGACGATGCCGCAATACGCTCTTATTAACAATTAATAATTTTTTGGTCATTTTTCAGGGTTATAAAAGCGAATATTAAAACCATTTTTTGATGTATCAGCCTTGAAATATTGTACTTGTTATTACAGGTTAAAGTGAGTTTTAAGTAAATTTAACCGTGAGAGAGCAATGCTTTCACACATTTGGTTACCGTGGACCGGAGTTACCATGAGCACCCCCACCCCTTTCCCTTCCCAGGGGCTCGAAAGGCCACTTGACAGTCCTCGACTTTTGACTCTTGAGGTGTCCTTGACTTTTTATAAAAATTGCCGAAATTTTTTTAAAACTTACATTTCATTTACTGTTTTTTGTAGTTAATACATTGCCTTATAATTTCCATTACCAAATTGGTGGTTAACAAACTGGGCCAAAGTAGATGGTTTATATTAGCAAAAATAAATCCATTTGTAAACGTCCAGTGTCCTAAAAAAGGGTTAGGTTTGGGATATTTTATATTGAAGTCGATTTATAATAATTTCAACTACAACCCCCTTAAGTTTCTAGGTCGACTTAACGAGTAATCCTGTATATATGTCAAGTCTATATCCTTGAAAAAGTACACAGATGTAGAGAGGTAGGCAGACCAGGAATATTAATGGAATTTCCATATTTCTAGAAATTATCTTCATAAATAAAGCAAAGCCATTGAACTTGTCATGAAAATTATTTTGTTATTTAGAAATATGCACCAACACAAATGTCCAAGGTAAAAAAAAAAAACAATTTTTTTTTTGGCAATATCTTTGTTGGATAACTTTCCTGCAACAGAGTTTTACAGTCTGTTGAAAAAATCACTTTAAACGTATAAGTTTAAAGGTTTATTTCGGCAATCAGGTGTATTTTTCATTCGGGCACGCCGTCATCGCGGCGGTAAGACCCGTTATGGAGGATTGGCTCGAGAGGCATCACGGGACCCTCTCATACCGACTGATGGGACAGATGGGACTGGGAAAGGATGTTTCGGGGATCACCTGTGTCTGATCCGCAAGGAGCCGCCACCTAAGTGCCACCACTGTGATGATCGGACCATGGACACGGCGCTCCACACGCTGGCAGAATGCCCGGCGTGGGTGGAGCAGAAGCAGTGGTCGCAGAACGACCTCCGTCCTCCATAAGCGCAAGCCTCCGTCCTCCATAAGGTGACAGGTGAGCCCATCTGTCACCCGAGCAGAAGCAGGCCGAGGTGACAGCGAGCGCGTTATGAAGCGCGCGCGCGAGCACAGAGGGAACATGGGGGTTCCTACACAGGGGGGGTCGTCTACCCGCCGTAGATGGCCCGAGGTACGTCGGGGAACCAGGGATTTCCTTTCTAGGGTACAACTGGTTCCCCGACTACTGGTACCTGAGACGGCGTGCGGTTTTAGTAGGTTCGAGTCCGACATTGCCACCGGTAAGTGGTATCCGAGGGGATTTCCGCACAGACAAAAAAAAACGGTGTATTTTTCATTGGGTATTAAAGTTAAATTGTACCTTGACAGTGACTTATCAAAGCTCTTATTAACCTTAGTTGGGTAATTTTATGAAGTTACAGTGATAAAAGTAACCTTATTCCGAGAATTGATCTCGGAGTAAATATTCGTTCAAAATTCAATTCCGATATACTCTCGATCTCACAAATGACTTTCCATGAAAGGACCTATAAAATGTAAATATTTTTATTTAAAGTTTAAAACATTAAAGTAAATTCTAAACAATCTAAACCTTATATATATTAAACATGGTTAGATCGCATTCACACCGTATAAGTATTCAATTGAACTGTAAATCAGTTCTGTGCACGCGTACCATTGTGCGCGCAATGTTCGGTGTGACAGCTGCCGTTATTTTGAAATATTTTATATGTATATCGATATCGGACACATGTACGATGTATGTGTTTCTATGAATCAGATATTCATGAGCGAATGTATCGCAATCACATCAGAATACAACATGTTACAGAATGGTGTCATCATATTATAGAAGTGTTATGTAATGTGTGTAAAATAAATATTGACAATAAACCATTGTTTATTTATTTTTTTCTTGCACGCTCTAATCTCTGAAACTGGAAGAACTAGTAGAATTTGAAAACACCTTTTTATTAAACTGTTTGGCTTCCGTTAGTAGTTTTGACATTCACTATAAACGCAAATAAAACTTATAGAAAGTATCTTTACGATTATTGTGAATGAGTGTATTTACACGAACACGTTACACGTCTAACCACAGAAACCTAATTATCATTGCCATTTTTCTTCAGTCAGATGTTCACCAAGACAAAACTAGGTGGGCTTCGATTCAAAACTAAAATATATTACCTTCTGTGCGCGTACTCTTAAAAGCGCGCAAAATAGTTTTCCATACTTGTTGGTTACCACCAGTTAACTGAATGATTTGATGATGATAAACTTGTATAGATAGTTCAACTCAGTTGTGCGCGCGGCCCTATGTGTGCATGGGCTTGTAAATATACAACTTTCATTCGTGTGGCAGTGACGCGGCAGTCGTCGTCCGAGCAAGACGTGTTCTTATCGCTTTTTCTTAAGGGTACAGTCGTTTACGAAAATGTCTAGTTCTTCACGGAGAAAATGTTTACGGAGTCAAGTAAATATTTTTTAAATTTAGATGTAATTAATATTTATTATGATTCTATATACGAAAAAATATATCCTTGTTGACGTTTACGTATTATTGTTTTAGACTTGACAAACCATTGCTAAGGTATACGAATTTCAGAAAATAGATGCGAGAGATATATTGGAACTAGTAAGTGATCCAGTTTGCAGTGCAAGTCCAATTTTAATATCGAAATTAAGTGAACATTTAAATAGCGTACGGAAAAGAACAGCAATGGCAGTGGGGGTATCAGAGAGAACAATTACTAATATATTGGCTGAAGGAAAAGAATCTGACTCTAAATTTAAATCTCCGCATAAAGACCGTAAAAAAACGTTTAAAAAAGTTAGAATTAGACAACTTTAACGTTGATGTTATACGTTTCACTATTCAAAATTACCATTTAGAACATCGCGAGTTACCTACCTTGCTAAAGTTGAAAAGAATATTTCAAGATAAACTTAACTATGATGGAAGTATTTCGACTCTGCGTACAGCTTTGTTATAGTTGGGATACAAATGGCGAAAAACTGTGGATAACAGACGTGTTATTATAGAGCGGTATATACAGATGAGAGCTACATCTTAACTAATCATGTGCAAAACAAAGGATGGGGTAATAAAGATGGACCACCTTTAAAGAGAAACCTGTCGAAAGGACAAAGAATTATAATTGTGCATGCTGGTTCAGAACAAGGTTTCGTACCTAACGCACTATTGACATACAAAGCAAATAGTGTTTCTGGTGATTACCACTCTAACATGAACGCAGAAAACTATGAAAAGTGGCTAAAAGAACGTCTAGTACCGAATCTTCCACCTAACTCTGTGGTTGTGCTTGATAATGCCTCATACCATAACGTTCTAAATGACAGAGCCCCAAATTCTAATTCCAAAAAAATAGAAATGCAGAGATGGCTGACAGAAAAAAATATAGCTTTTAATCAAGATATGAAAAAAATTGAACTGTATGATTTGATTAAAAAAAATAAAGAAAAATATATCTGTTACAAGATTGACGACATACTTCAGCCATATGGCATAAAAATTCTTCGACTGTCACCATATCATCCTAAACTAAACCTCATAGAAAATGTGTGGGGAATTTTAAAGAATTATATTGCTTCGCATAATGTCGACCAAAATGTGACGGAAATAATGAAACTCATAAATGAACGTTTAAGTCAAATTGATGAAGGGATGTGGGGTAATACTTGTCGACATGTACAAAAGAAAGAAGAAGAATACTATAGACATTTTGACATGGAGTCAGAATTCATAATTAACCTTGGTGAGAGCAGCGAATCCGAAAATTCATCATTTGATTTTTCAAGTAGCGATTCAGAATAATGTTCAATAAATAAACATTACATTACGAAATAACTCTTTTTTTTTAAAACCCGTATATAACCCGTAAATAACTATATTTGTATTTGTACGACTGTACCTCTTGTTACGCACACAAAGTCACTGTATATGTACAAGGTTTACCCACACATAGGGCCGCGCGCACATCTGAGTTGAACTATCTATAGTCATATAGTTAAGAATCTTTGTCAATAATTACTAAATAAAAGCAAATTCATCCGTCTAAGTTCATATATTCGTACTTGCAGGTACCCGCGACTTCGTTCGCGTAGAATTTGAATTGAAAATGTCAAGTATGAAATTGCCGTTGTATAATAATAGAAACTTTGAATCTACATAAAACCTTTATGGTGTGGGATTTTCATGTGAAACTTTTTTAACATGATACATATGAGGTTCGTCTTTTAAAAAATGTGCAACATTCGATTTTCGACTTTCAATGGTTTTTTTTTTTATTTTATTCAGCTTAGACGTGAAACATGGACACTTCGAAAATCTGAGTCATATTTGAATACGAGTTCTCGACAAACTCGGAACTAAGGCTCGTAATATAAACTATGCGTTTGGAGAGGAGACTGCTAATGAACGCACCGTG